TGGGGACATTGGGGACATTGGGGACATCGCCAGGCTGGACCGCGCGGGGACACTGCAGGTGACATTGGGGACACTGCAGGTGACATCACTGGGGACACTGCAGGTGACACTGGGGACACTGGGGACATTGGGGACACTGGGGACATCGCCAGGCTGGACTACGTGGGGACACTGGGGACAGATCCTGACCTTGTCACCGCTGTCTCCATGTCCAGCTGATGTCCAGTTGTCCCCTCACTGTCCCCCTGTCCCTCAGTGTCCCCCTGTCCCTCAGTGTCCCCCTGTCCCCCTGTCCCCCTGTCCCTCAGTGTCCCCCTGTCCCTCAGTGTCCCCCTGTCCCTCAGTGTCCCCATGTCCCTCAGTGTCCCCATGTCCATCTGTCCCTCACTGTCCCCCTGTCCCTCACTGTCCCCCTGTCCCTCACTGTCCCCCTGTCCCTCAGTGTCCCCATGTCCCTCAGTGTCCCCCTGTCCCCCTGTCCCTCACTGTCCCCCTGTCCCTCAGTGTCCCCCTGTCCCCCTGTCCCTCACTGTCCCCATGTCCCTCAGTGTCCCCCTGTCCCCCTGTCCCTCACTGTCCCCCTGTCCCTCAGTGTCCCCCTGTCCCCCTGTCCCTCACTGTCCCCATGTCCCTCAGTGTCCCCCTGTCCCCCTGTCCCTCACTGTCCCCCTGTCCCTCAGTGTCCCCCTGTCCCCCTGTCCCTCACTGTCCCCCTGTCCCTCAGTGTCCCCCTGTCCCCCTGTCCCTCACTGTCCCCATGTCCCTCAGTGTCCCCCTGTCCCCCTGTCCCTCACTGTCCCCCTGTCCCTCAGTGTCCCCCTGTCCCTCAGTGTCCCCCTGTCCCCCTGTCCCCCTGTCCCTCAGTGTCCCCCTGTCCCTCAGTGTCCCCCTGTCCCCGCAGTCGCTGACGGTGTCCCTGACGGTGTCCCCGGGCAGCCTGCGGCCGCAGGGCCAGCTGCGGGAGCGCTCGGTGGCCGCGGTGGCCGCGGGGACGGCAGTGGAGCTGTACCGGGGGCCGCTGCGGCCGCTGTGCGCGCTGGCCCCCAACAACACCAACGCCATGGCGGCCGCCGCGCTGGCCGCGCCCGGCCTGGGCTTCGACCGCGTCACCGCCCGCCTGCTGGCCCAGCCCCGGTGGGGACACCTGTGTCACCTGGGGGTCACCTGTGTCACCTGGGGGTCACTTGTGTCACCTGGGGGTCACCTGTGTCACCTGGGGGTCACTTGTGTCACCTGGGGGGCACCTGGGGGGCACTTGTGTCACCTGGGGAGCACCTGTGTCACCTGGGGGTCACCTGGGGGTCACTTGTGTCACCTGGGGGGCACCTGGGGGTCACCTGGGGGTCACCTGGGGGGCACCTGGGGGTCACTTGTGTCACCTGGGGGTGTCTGGGGGACACCTGGGGGCACCTGGGGGGCACCTGGGGGTCACCTGGGGGTCACCTGTGTCACCTGGGGGTGCCTGGGCTTCGACCGCGTCACCGCCCGCCTGCTGGCCCAGCCCAGGTGGGGACACCTGTGTCACCTGGGGGTCAC